CACTTTTTATTTTAACAATAGCTTGCTTCAAATAACCAATCTTATAGCCAATACTTCACTCATCAAGCTTACTATGCATATATTATTGCTGGCTCTCAAAGTACTTATCTTACCATTAATTTTAGAAGTTTGTACACTTTAGATTGAACTACCAACATGTACTATGCAAAGTACTTTTCAAGCCCTTGCTGAGCATCCAACACTAAGTGTCTCTCCACTACTTGTTATTACTAAGGAGCATACTGGGCATCATCCAACTTAAGATAATTCCTCCTCTATCATACCACTATTGCTGCAACTGTCCCGGCTTGAAGTAGTATTGCCTATGCAACTCCTCAATCATGCTTCTTCTTCATTGCTAGATGTTATAGCCCTTGTTCCTATGTCACGAGGCATTATTCCTTGCCTTCATTCACATTTAGCTCCAACTCATTTTCTCCGCCACTATAAAGATAAAAAATCTAGTATCAAAGTCATGTTCCATATGAGACATCATTCTCTACCACTCACAAGCTTATACCTTTGGCTACTATCTCTTGATCTTGATGTTCATAACTCTCTTAATGCAATACTATCTCTTAGTCTAGTATCTGCTTCTTCTTGTTGTACCTTGTTTAGTTCAATAAAAGGTGTTCTTCCTTGCAATCTAAATGAGAATTATGACTTTGTTGTTTTGATATCTTGATTCTCCCTTATTCTTTTGCCTATAAAAAAATAAGCCGTGTATATCTTAATTCTTATTCTATTCAAGCCCATCTCATACAAATACACTTTGAGTTGTCTAGAATGAGTCTACTAGAAGGCCACCATTGTTGATGAACTCAATTTTCATGTGGCAAATGGAACTTGGATCTTCATTGATCTCCCTCCCAATTGACAATCAATCACATCCAAATAGATCTTCAAACTAAAATTAAAGAGTAATAGCCACATTGTCTAATACAAAGTCCAACTTATTGCTTAGACGTTCAATTAAAATTTGGAATTGGACTATAATATATATATTTTTTTCTATTGTCCAAATATAATTAATGTGTCTCATCTTTCACCTTATATGGCCTAAAATAGTCTTCAAGAGAATGGTTTTAACTCATTGATATCTACCTTATTAAAATGTCTTTCAAAAATTCAACAATCCATTATAATATCTAGTACATTACTTATAGCTTCTTTTGTATAATTTTCATGCTCAATATAAATGATACCATGCTTATTAGTAATATTCTTTTACTTCTTTGCAATATTAAAAAATTAGTAGCATTTTTATTTCTCGCTGTGTAATCTTAGTGATATTTATCATATCCTTAGCCTCCAAATTACTTGTGATATATAGTAGAACTAGCTTAGTATTTTCAAACCTTGTATCTCATACAAAAATTACAAGAATATGGCTTGCTAGACGTTCAACTTGTATCAACTCTCTTTATACCCAGAGTCAAACTTTTGGCCTTTAGATGCCCTCTCGTTGTTTTTATAGATGCTACAATCACAATTTTTCTTATGCCAATGCTATTGGTTCACTAAACTAGACCAACATGTACACCTACTTAGACATTGTTTTTGTAATGAATATCTTAGCCTAATACATGTAAAACCTTTGAGCAAAATATATTGTCACTTGCAAACATTATTTTTGTTACATCCATAGCATGTTACACTTTGTCATTATATATTAGTATTATACTATTATATCATATTTTTTATTTGATTACAAAAATTTAAATTGGATTGACAAGATAAATAACCAATGCTTCATCTCAAGCTTTGTCTTCCTATTATCGCAAGACAACATGAATTGGAGTTCAACAAGCCAATGCTCTACTATCCTATTGAGCATAGAAGTAGTATTGTATTATAATTGTTTATAGTATGTAAAAATTAATTAAAACATATAATATATTTATAAGTATTGATAAGTATTAAAATAGTTAGTAGATTAATTTAAAGAGAGTTGATGTAAGAAAATTTATTTTGAGGTTTACCTATTTTGATTATAGTATTTAAATTATATAAGATTTAGATATTTAGTATAATATTTAAAGAGAAGATTGGAACTCAAAGATAAAGATTCAAACTTCTAAGAAGCTTCTTTGGATAATAGATGGATGAAGGAAAGAGATAAAGATCTTCATCCCTAATAGTCGAAAGCTATGGCCAATAGGCTATTTGTGACCATAATAAGGATTTTGGCGACTTCAAAAGGAGCATTTTTCTAAGAATCAAAACTAAGGGTTGTAAGGTTTAAGATTTGGACTACAATTTGTGTACAAATTTTAAAGGATTTGGAATTAAGATGATAAATTTATAGCCATTTGAAGTTAAGGTGTCTTTTTATGATATACTATTATTCTTTTGAAAATAGGAGGACTTTTATAATAGCTTTTGGAGATCAAGTGATGTTGCAGCAAAGGTGATTTTAAAACCTATATTTTTTGAAAAATAATTTTTATATTTGTAATTTTTATAAAGAAGTTATAAAGTATTGAAGACAATATATGTCATTCAAAGGCAGTAAGTGAATCATTTTGTTGATAGTAATGGTTGGAGCCATATCTTGAGTTTTTAGATGAATTTTTACCTTAATATTTCCAAAAGTGTGTATTAATAGGTTTAAAAGCTATATATTAAAATTTTATGGTATTTAAATGCTTGATTTATGAAATATAAAGAAAATTATACATATGTATATGTAAATAAGGGTTTGAAGCTATTTTTAGGCTTTTGACAATATCTCAAGTTTTATAATGAATTTGTAATTAAAATTTGTTGTAGTAATTTTTTAAAGTATATCAATATTTCATGCAAAATTTTAGTTTGTTTGGATGGTCCAATCGTGAAATATAAGCTGTTGAAGTTTAGAAAATTTTCACCTTAAGAATATATAAGGTTTTAGAATATTTTTATCACATTTTGGATGATCTTTAATACTCAGGACTTATATATTGATGTACTTGTTCCTATAGGGATAATTTTATATATAAACTTGGTTTTTTTTTTTTTTTTTTTTTTTTTTAAATAATCTTAAGACTTGGTTGAACAGTTAGTGACAACGAGAAGCCTAGTATTTTTTTAAGGCAAATTCTCTCTATCTCAACAGCGGAATACATAGTGATGGCCAGAGCCACCTCTAAAGTTATGTAATTAAGCCATTTCTTCCAAAACCTCCAACAAGCCATTGGCCTTTGTGTTGCTAGTATCATTCACTATGATAACCAATTGGCTCTTGCCTTCATCAACACTACCAAATTTCACTCTTGAACCAAGCACATCAAAGTACGTTACTATTTTATTCATCAATTAGCTACTCAACACAAAATCAGTTTTCAATATTGCCCCTCTCTTTGATGCATGCCAACCTCCTTACAAAATCTTTCATAGGTCTGAAGCTCGTCCTTCACCTATTGCAAATTCGCATGCTTAGAGGAGAATTTGACTTGCATCATACACCACACACAAATTAACAAGGCGATTTAAAATATAATAGTTACAACTAATTATGTATGAGGTGTCCAAACATCACACTTTGTTGACTAGACGCAATCCTTGTAGTTGAAATGCAAACCAAGCAACAAATAAAAAAAACCTAATTACTTGAAAAAAAAAAATTATATCCTAAGTCTCAAGTTCCACTACTAAGGTGATTAGAATTGTGCTAAGATGTACATGTCAATACAGCAAGATGCTAACGATCATGAAAATCTTAGGAGACAGATATTGAGAAAGCTCATTATATTTATTTTACAAACCACACGAAAAAGAATTCTATGCTTTGCCACTTGTTAACACTGATTTGGCACCCGGTCCACCAGCGTTGTTTTGAACAGTCATTTTGGAAGGATATTCCGAATATTTGGAACCAAAATCCCGCTGATAATCAGATACGATGTTGTATAGATACACAACTGCTTTTGATAACGAAAGTGGCAGTGATCACATCTACAAGATGATGTTCTTGACTTATCAAATTACGTCAGTTTTTGATGCCGCAATTACCACATTCCTTAAGTATTACGATGTCTCTCATTATTCTTATGTGTCGTGTGATTCGTCAAAGAAAACTTGCCTCAGCCTGTTCACAAATAAATAGTCCACATATTGCAGTATTGACTGCATATATGTGTCACTGTCATGTGCAGGCGTTCATGGCTTTTTGGAACCCTATCTCAGGTCTTCTCCGTCTTCCTGTTGATTGTGTGATAGTGATAAATACTCATGATGCATCTTTGAGACATTACTCATCCTGCAGAATAAGACATCGTTGAGGGGCTGGTCACGATCTTTCTATGGGATGCAGGTATTTTAGTGCTCTAATATCATTTCCTCTTCTATAAACGTGTTTCAAAACGAAGCAGTGTGCATCCAACAATGGGGAGAAGAGTCACACAGTGGCGCAGTTTAGGACAGATTGCTCCAAATCGTGTCTGTAGATGAGAAATTGGGTGTGCGTATATATGTGGCCAAGTTGGTGACTCCAATCCCAGAAAACTTTTGATAACGAAAGTGGCAGTGATCACATCTACAAGATGATGTTCTTGACTTATCAAATTACGTCAGTTTTTGATGCCGCAATTACCACATTCCTTAAGTATTACGATGTCTCTCATTATTCTTATGTGTCGTGTGATTCGTCAAAGAAAACTTGCCTCAGCCTGTTCACAAATAAATAGTCCACATATTGCAGTATTGACTGCATATATGTGTCACTGTCATGTGCAGGCGTTCATGGCTTTTTGGAACCCTATCTCAGGTCTTCTCCGTCTTCCTGTTGATTGTGTGATAGTGATAAATACTCATGATGCATCTTTGAGACATTACTCATCCTGCAGAATAAGACATCGTTGAGGGGCTGGTCACGATCTTTCTATGGGATGCAGGTATTTTAGTGCTCTAATATCATTTCCTCTTCTATAAACGTGTTTCAAAACGAAGCAGTGTGCATCCAACAATGGGGAGAAGAGTCACACAGTGGCGCAGTTTAGGACAGATTGCTCCAAATCGTGTCTGTAGATGAGAAATTGGGTGTGCGTATATATGTGGCCAAGTTGGTGACTCCAATCCCAGAAAAAAGACAGGTCAACCTGTCGTGCAACATCAAGATACTCCAGATTCGCTTTATCTGATATTATATAGGTGTGATTTCTTTGCGCGTGCATGTCTACAGCAGATATCTCTCACCCTCCTCTGGTTAGTACACTTTGGGACATGCAGAGGTCCGGATGAGGGCAATGTTACTCAAATTGCTACTGTGAAGTACTGAAGCAATAACATGACAACGAATGCCATAAGATAATCATGGAATGGAACACCCTCGACATTGATGGGGATTCTAAATGCAGAGCCATATTTAGATCTTTTACCCCCTGATCCGCTATTACTTCCGCTTACAACGATTCCGCCTGGTGTTGTTTCGCTTGGAGCTTCGTTTCCTAACTTCGGGTTTTCAGGTAGTGGACCTTCCCCAATTTTGGTTGTATTGAACACAGCATTAATGCCATGGACTGCAATGGTCGCGCCTGTGTACAGGTCAGGATCGATAATGGTTGCATCGTCCACTTGGTAAGCATCTTTAGTTGTATTCGTGACTAAGATCGTGAAATTGGACACAGCGGTCTTCAATCTGCTTCCTGCTTCCATCCGTAGCAGGTTTGAGAAAGGCAGCGGGGTTGTGATAATGTGGAATCTTACAAGATTTTCAAGATGTTCTTGTGTCTTCCTCTTGTGGAAGTCGGACAGAGCTCCGTCATTGGGAGCGAAGATTGTGATTCCCTGTCGGATGACCGATTCTGTCATATTGTCCAGCAATGCTGCGAATGCACTGTAAGTCTGCACAGTCCGCAATACTCGCACAACGTCCTGGTGCAGCTCACTCTTAAGATGAGAGGATCCAGTTATCACAGGTGCATGATTAGGATTGAACTTTCCTGCCCCAATACCTCTGGAATCCTCCTCATTCAACGCAATAGCCAGGGTGCACGCACTCATGCAGCTGAGAAGCAGGACAAGAGCAGATACTTCTTTTTTACCCCTCTGGTAGGCCATCATGAGATCGGCACTCGTTATTCAATTGCCTATGGCGATGCCTGTCTTACTGCAGTGGGAAGTGATTGACTATCGTTTGACAAAATTTATCTGAGGTCATGAGTATATGAAATTAATCAGATAAAGTAAATCAAGGTCCACGTTATGCAACCTAGACAATATTTTACATTCTGGAAGCGTCAGTCCGATAGTAATTAGATGCTCTAATATCCTGGTTCCAGTTGCTCACATGAATTGAGAATATGTTGACGTTACTCCGTAAAAATTGTGAGAGAACAACGCAATTTAAACTGCACAGAGATAATCCTATTTTAAGCCTAACTAATCGCACTGATAGCTAAAAGAATTTGCATCTTATTGATTCATTTCGCAGAAGCACATTACAGAGGGGGCTACTGTGATACATGCCCTGAGTAGCTGTTAATTGTTTTAGAAGCAGTTTACTTCAAATTCAATATCTCAGGACTGTAGCATTTTCCTTCCCCTAGAAAGATCTATCCAAACATGATTGAGCGTTTCTCTTCGTGTTTCAAGATCGGTGTGATAACTCAACTCATATCTACAACGCTCATCAATTCATAATCAGATCGACTTAAGATCAGTTGCATCTACGACATTTATTATTTCAGATGATAACTTAACTCATGCATTCCTGAATACTCGTACACTTATTTCAGAAATCGCGAGTTTACCTCAAGAGTCCAACCAGCCTTTGAACCCGCAGGGTCACCGCAACAACTCCAATCGCAGAACTTAGCATACAATAATAGAGGAAGAGGAACGTTGGCGAAGAGAAACGGTGCGTCGGAAATGAAAAGAGAGCAAAGGCGTGTGAGCATACACGCTGTGAAGACAGGGAATAGGAGTCCTGGTTCAAAGGACTGGGAACCTATTCCGCAGCTCACTTAGAGGCGATGTGACAATGGATGCAGCAGGAGCGCAAAAGGAGGTTCAAACGCAAATCGAGTCCCAATCCAACATTCAAATCCGTTTCCAGAAGGGTCTCGTGGGCGGGTGGGATTCTGCAGATGAAAGCACTTCCAAGGATTCTTCATCCATTCATGCAGTCATCCATCTCGTCATCCAGTTGGTTCAATTATTGGTTTCTCTTTTTGTAATTAGTTCTACTGAGCTCTTGAAGAGAATTCAAATCCAATTCCTAGAAAGTCTACTCCAATCAACAGTGGTGTTAGTATTAGAATACACATTGGAGAAATATGTTTGGAGAATGGAGAAGTCAATAAGAGAATGTCAATGTGTAATATACCTTATTAGCAAAATACTAAGTGTGTTTTTATTTTATTTTATTTTTAATTGTAGAAAAGTTGAATAAGGTAGCATGAAAAGTATGTGGGAAGTACATAGGCTCCTCCTCCTTCCACTTTTTATACAAAAGAAGTTTGAATAAAAACTAATGTTTTATATTGCAGTAATAGTGTTAATTAGCCTTACTAGCTAACCATTTAAAATTGGCTCAAGTTACAAGTATATTCTAAGTTGCTACATACACACACCTCATATTGTTATTTGCACATCTAAAAAATGTAGAAGCTTGTGATTGGCTAGATGTTTTTATGAGGACCATGCCACTTGATACAATTGTAGAAAGGAAGGGGAAGAGAAAGAGGTTAGGATGGGTGGCAGCCCTCTTTCTAATGGCCTTGCTAACCAGTTAATAAGTGGGGTCAAGGAGCAATGCTCCTTGCAAGGGACTCCAAGGTCAAAGCCCCTAAAAGAAAATTTAAAATCTATACCTTGTATTGGTGGTTTTTTTGCCAATTTTCACCACATCTTATATTTTATTCACTTTCATCATACTACACCTTAGATTCAAAATATTTTACTATACCACAAATTAGAAATACTACATTTTACCAAAGAAATTAAAAACATCACATCCAATTTCACATATTCTTTCAATACATCAAGGGCAAGTAGATGCTAGTTCCGAAGTTCAACTCTACCATCTCTCTTATTCTCACCAAAGCAATCACCTTCAAGGAGACTTAGAATATGGAATTGGACTTTGCAACAATACAATAAATTTTGCCGTTCTCTTTATATGCTTATTTATTCTTTAGAGATTCTTTATTTATTTGATTATACTTTTTAAATTGCTTGTTTTAAGAATTTTGGTTTTTATGAAAGCACTAAGTTTAATTTGTTACTTTACAAGTAAGAAAAATATTAACTAAATTACTTATTTAAAAAATAGAAATGACACATATGTAATAATTAGAAAAAAATTAATGATAAAAAGAACTAAAATATGAAAGATCCTTTAAAAATTGAATAATAGAACACATAATCTTCAACCACAATAAATTTGTTTCAATAGTAGAAGAGGTCTAAGGACCAAGTATTGTCTTTTCTAAAACAAAAGCACCATATACTATAACCTTCTTGTAATTTTTGAGTTGGGTATCATCATTTAAGGAGACACATTTGCCTCCATGCAAGATCTCCACACACCAATTCTTGGCAATGCCACAATTATCTAATCTCTCTTTGATCTTGTAAAAAGTTGGTGATGCCTTGTCCAATTCTATCAACTTTTTTTCTTGCAGCAATTGCGTCTCTAGTTCAAACACCTTAGAATCTTGAGTGTGGTCTAATATATAAGAGTTAATAATTGAAAAGATAATGTTATTTTATGAATTGCAAATTTTTTATGGTATACAAAGAAGAAACTTGGCATTTGTAATTGAAGACTAAAGGATCAATTATACAAAAGAACTATACAAAAAAGAATATTACATATACTAATAAGAGGAGAAAAAAAGTGCATAATGATACAATCTTCAATAATATATTATTATGTTGAGGTAAAAATAGGTGTGGTAAATAATTCAATAAATATTATAATTCAAAATAAAGTAAACTTGTATAGATACTTAAATATACTCAAGTATTTTATATAATACCTTCTTTTATATATTCATCAATTTTTAAGAACATATTATATAAAAATGTGATAGTGATTTGGCATAATTATTGGAATATGATCTGTTATAGAAGTATTGAAAGTTTAGGTCATGATGTTTTAAGAATCATTTACATAGAATAAGTAAATATTTTATTAATATTTAAATGATAATAAAATAATAATATTATAAGTTGAAACTTGAATTTATAGGAATTTATTAGTGTAAAGGTAGAATCTATACTAAATTGTATCTTAAATTTATAAGAATTTATTAGTATTAAAATGAGATCTAGACTAAAGCTCACATGTAATAGTGGGTTATGTTTTTTTGTAGTTATTTTATACAATAAGCCAACCAAATGGTAATACATGTCTTTTGTACAATAAATATAAAGACTATACTAACACATATGCTTGGTGAGTTCTATTCTTGTTATAGAGATCTCTCTCTTACTCTCTCACACATACACATACATACATATATATACAATATTTTCTTCAAATAATTATTTAAAGTAATCTCATGCCACATGACTTGTCTCTAAGTTTTGATTATTGTCCTTTATGTTTGATAATACAAAGTTGTTACTTAAGTAGCATGTATAACCTTAAAATAAACAATCAACAATATTTGTATTATATTTGAATTTAAATTTTGTATCAACTTCTTTCTACATTCTCTTCTTTTTTCTTTTTTTTATTCTTACTCTTTTTTTTTCTTTCATAATGAGCCTTCTTCAACCAAATTCAAAAAAAATATACAACTCATAAAAAGAGTTATTTATAGATATTCAAACCATACAACAGATTGCAACTATGCCATTGTGACTAAGCACTTAAAGAAATATTGCTACATATAACATTGTTGTAATAACAATTATTGATATAGAAGCATTGTTTTTTAACTTTCTTAAAAGCAAGAGAGGTTAACTCAAAAAACTAGTGACCTATTTGAAATTGTTCCTTGGTTGGACAGGGGAAACAATTGCTAATATTTCAAGGTCATCAATCCTAAGCATAACCATAAACCACCATTGACTTCTTGTGGGCATGTTCTACATAAAAAACTAATGGCATTAGAGAGCACATGTATTGATAGTTTTTTGTTTGTAAATGTTTGCCTATATGAGTTTTTGATAGTTATGTGCCAATAAGATTAAAATTTTGTTGTTGTATAAAAGTCAAACTATAATGTAAGTCAAAGATTTATCAAGATATTACTTGATGGACATACACTGCTTGAAGCCTTGCTTGATGACTTCACTTGCTAAGATTGTGTTAAGGATATAATTCTCAAAGAAAGAAATCCTCAATACACTCTTGTGTCACTCAAAAAGACTAGGAAATTACTCAAAGATGGTAATATATTGAACTAGAATGGCTATTGTCAAAGACAAGAAGACTAAAAAGTCTTGAAACAAGACTAAAGATTAGAAAGGCTTTGAAAAGAATGAAGAAGACTTCACTCTTGCCTCCATATATACTCTTTAACTAGAAGTTATGTGGCAATATTCTATAGGACTTCCAACATGTGTTGACTTTGTTAGTCACATATCTTAACTTGCAATGCAAGTTATCTGTATAAGCACCACATAATTAATTTGTTGATCAAGTTTCTAGTTTACCAATTAATTACGAACATATATAAAGTCAAAGTAGCATCTATGAAGCTTTTAAGAAGCTTTTCTAGAAGATATTATAAAATTAATCTACTTTGTCTATTTCTACTTAATTATATAGGTAATTATTAGAATAAATATGTGTGTCTATGATACATTGCCAAATAATATATATAACAATAAATGGTGGAATAGTAATATATATATATATATATATATTTTTTTTTAAAATTTAATCAATCTTTTTTGTATGCATTAGAAAACCATATTTATTAGTTTTGTAATGACTAATTTACTTTAAATTTGACTATTAAGATCCAAATGCTACATTAAATGACATTTAATTAAAGCCATGTGAGATTTGTAAAGACTTTTTGACATATAATTGATTGATCACTTAAATAAATAAATAAAAATAAAAATAAAAATAGTACTAAAAAAATTAAATTTTTGATATAATTACTTCAAAAAAATATTTTATATCAATATATATCAAAAGCACATAAAGTCATAGCATATAAAATATTAGATATAACATATTAAACTAATGTCTAAAAAAAAAGATTCTTTAATAATATTTATCTAGTACTTCATTGTAAAAACATCACGACATTCTTTTGTGGGCTTTGGATTTGTTATTATTGATTTGTAGATAAGCCTATTATTCATATTATTTTAGAAAAGATTTTTTTATATTAACAATGTAATATCAAGATTAGAAAAAAATAAGCCCTTAGTATTTCTAAAAATAAGATTGATTGTTTTGAAGCTACTATTGTAACTAATAGTAGTAAAAAAAAATAGGATTATTATTGTACATATTGCAAGATATTGCATTGATTTAAAGAATCTACTTCAGTTCACTTAATTTCTAACTATCTCAATATTAAGATAGCTTTTTCAATATTTTTGAAATTTTGAAAAAGCATACCAACTAAGTTTATATTGAATTTTTATTTTTAAAAAAACTCATTCATTATTTATACTTAATTTAGAATATACATTTAATTTTTAAATATTACAATAATTATTTAATTAAATCTGAATATTTATATTAAAATGTATATTTCTATTTATATGGCCATATTTTATTTAGAAATTTTCATCTATTTATTTTTAATTCCAATTTTTAGTTGGCACAATAAAGTAGAGACTTTTTATTAATTGATTAAAAAACTCTAATTATTCTTGCTTATTATTAGAAAAAAATAAATATATTAATATTTATAAATAAATAAATAAATAAAATAAGATAAATTTGAGTTATTAGAAGTTATTTTAAATAAATTTCTCTTTTGAACTTTTATTGGTTGTTATGTGGTCTACATTAGTTCAATATTAAGCTTTAGACTTTTTTTTTTTCAACTTTAATAGGTGAATATTTCTATTTTAATCTAAATTTATTAATTATATACTTGGAGAGGCAAAAAAAACTTGTGAAGGATATAAATTCTCAGCTGAAGAAAATTTTAGACATTTTATAAAAATCTGTAAGCAAAATCTTTAGTTGGCTTGTGACTCATCACACATGTACTTGCATACATCAATCAAAAACTTCTTATTTCTATCCAATTTTGGCCTAGTCAATTATCAAAATGTTTATTAACAAGATTTCGATTTTTTAAATGTATATCTTTTAAAATCTTAAAGAAATCGCAACCTTTGTATTGTAACAATATCAAAAACTAGTACATTTTCATTCTATTTTTTTAAGGACAAAAAGCATATATCTCTAAAAGTTGTTGATAGAGAAGTTGCAAATCTTTATTACACTTGCTTATATTTAATGTAAGCATCATATGTAAAAACAATATTTAAAGATGTCAATCAATTTGAAGCAGATGTAATTAAAGAAGTTAATATTAGTGCAATGACAACACTTAAGAAAGTTTTTAAAGTGTGTATTATTTACTTTATCACAAACATGATTTTTGTAGTTGCTAAGTAAGACTTATCAAACAAAATTGCATCATAAATGCATTTTGTACTTCCACAAAAGCTTGCAGCATTTTGTAACCATGAGTTTGTTGATATTTTGAGGTCCTAATTACTTAATTTAGAATTTCAATTTGCTTTTGCTGAAGTCAATCCAATTTAACAAGAATTTTAATAGTTGTAAGTGATCTATTAATAAAAGTGTTTTAAGATGATAGTTGATTTGTATAATCACTAAACCTCTCCATGGCACCTCTACTATAAAGAGATACTTCTTAATGATCAAGTGGAAGAAGAAAAAAAAAATATATATATATATATATATATATATATATATTTTTAACAAACTTAATGCTCAAAAACATTCTCCAGACAATGTAGTTTGAGCAAATGCAAGCCATTAAAATTGAGCAAACAACATTTGGATAGCAGCTTTTTACTAATTGTATTAGTTCACATGGGATTTCTATGAAGATTGCTTCTTGTTGCATATCAATTTCTTGGAAAGCTACAATTAACTTCTTTTCAATAATTGGAGATGGCCCGCATTTAGATTGATTAGAGAATGTAATGTCTCATAAAAAGATGTTAAAATTGGTATTTGGGGGCTCTGGCATATATACAGGGTAGAGGCCATCTTGAGCTGTGACAAGCTCCACCCTCAACATTTTGGGACTTAACCTCTTCATTTCATTTTTCATTGGGATTTTTTGTTTTTCCTCATTTCCTCGGTGTTAAATTTGGCTCCAAGTCCTAGTTTCAGCCCAAATGCTGTTTAGAAGAACTTAAGGTAACTAGGGTCAAAACTCAACCTGATTGTTCTACCTCTTTTGAACTGAAATTTTCCAAAGCCAAAGAAAGATGCATAAATAAAAAAATATGTAGTCCAAGACTGTCCTGCATTGAGCACAATACTGTCCGGGTGCAGACTACATAACTGACAAGCTGTATTCTATCCTCAAGCATATTTGGAGCAGAGCATTCATTGCTGGTGCATCCACATGGTTTACATGCAAGAAACATCGGTGATAGCAATGCTCCCTCGCATTTTCATTCCATTTCAGAGATAACAGCGGTGTGCTACAAACTAGTCTAGGGAAACAAGAACTAGAGACAATCGAGATACAATTAACATATTGTACGTGTGTGACGCACTAAATCAAACTCGATTGAAGGAGACACTGAACCATACAAAAGAGATTAAATTTACTTCAAGAGATAGAGCTCAACCAATATCTGACTCGTGAAGTTACCTTCACTTTTATATTACAAAAGCCTGTGCAGCCACTGCCCGTAGTGTGATGAGTATCACATGCGCGGCTGGACTTGGAACAGATAGATGCCCTGTACAGAAACAGATCGCCGCACTAATTTGGAGGATATGCATTCGCTCGAAAGCAGCCAATCATTGGATTACGTGCTGCTCTGCTCCTAATGGTACCTTCCAACCAAATGTTTGAAGAAAAAAGAAAAAAAAGTAAAAACTAGACGCATCCGAAACCTTATTGGGCCAAAAACTTGCTGAAGCTATGCTCAATCTTATGTGATAGGTAAGTACCTATGACCCCGGGTCAAAGTAAGTAGAGGTTGCTTCGGCAGTGCAACACGATGATGGGGCAGAATGACGGCCGTCTGCACGACTCCTTTGATCTAAGCCCATGAATTGCTGTAAGCATTGACTTGCGCAGTGGAGCAGCTCTATCAATATTTTACCTCAACGCAGATTCCTCAGACTCCTCCAGAACATGTTTTAATGATGGAACTCTAATTGCTAGTGTCTTGTATAATCTTGTATAACGTGCCCTAGTGCCATCGGCAGTCCTAGCCATAGCCAACTGATAAAAGGATTCCGGGAGATGTGATATAGTCTGTGCGATGCCCTCCAGCGACAAACCGGCCAAAGCAGAAGGCACCGGAACAACTGCAACAATCTCTTTTCCAGTCTTTTCTTGCATTTTAGCCTGCGCTTTGACAACTAGTTCTAGGTTGGATGTAGCCCCACACTTAATCACAAATGGGGTCGCAGACCCATTATTAAATTGCAGTACACTCCATTGAATGACTTCACTTTCAACTCTGTTGTTCATCCTCTCGTCCAAATGGACAAAATCAGCTGATCTGTTCACCCCATCCAGAGTGCGAGATCTCGTATGCCGTACACCAGGGACCTCTTGGTGCACTTCGAGTAACTTAACACAACAAAAGGGCATTTGGTCACGAGTAATTCACCAGTTGGAGAAAGTCATACCAGGAGAAGAAAACATATCAAACCCAGGAACATTTGCTGATAATACATTCCAAACTTTTGCTGTTGCAGCATAACTCATGTTTGTTGCATCCACATCAAATAATCAACTTATTTCAAGACGAATCGAAATAATATGATTCCTAATTACACACAGTCATGATACTAGTATTAGGGGCGACATTGCTTACTTCGACAAACCTTCTTGCGTCCGTAATGCATCTTTGAGCACAGGGGTAATCGATGGAAAGGAGTGTGCTCATACGCTCCTCAAGGGCATCTAGATGCTTCAAATAGCTTAGCTTCTTGTTGGCAGTACTTCTTCCTTCGGGAGCATCCTTGCGCATTTCCTGAGTAATACCACCAACACACGTGAATACATCACAAATTGCATAACAGTGAACACTTGCACGAGTTGTTTCAAAGAAGCTAGAGTACTCAGATACGATAATCGGCCCAGATTTGTATGATGGTATAAAAGTAGAACATCAACACACCCCGGCCTGCTTATACATATCCTCAAGGGATGTAAGTGAAGCAACGCGAGCATTCATTGCGTCCATAGGTGGATTCCGAGCTGGCGACGCACCATCCTCCTCAGTCAGAATAGTTATATTAGTCCGCATCTGCGTTAGGACCTGTTCAAATACACCGCAAGCAGGAGAAGTTTACGTTTTCCTGTAACACAAGAATTCAACTACTCTTGAAGTACACAAGACACAATCAAACAGACTGAGATGGTAAAAGCATAAGAGCTAAAATTGGCCGGACGGATAACATTTGAAGAGAGTGTCAGTCGCAAAATATTCATTACGCTACCCCTTCTGCAGTATGCTCGAGTTTGATCAAATCGATTCACAAACACTGGAAAGGCGAGACACAACGTAGAATAACACGAAACCCTGGCTGCAATGCCACCTCACGAACAGATTCACGAGCGGCTGTTAATAACTGACCTTGCGACGTTTGAGCTCGACAGATTCTAATTCTGAACGCAGCTTGGTAACTTGATCCTCGTCCTCCGCTACCTCAGCTGCCAATGCAGCTCCAACGTCCTGGACACATGCAAATTTTTATTCAGAGGGCAGATCAGCATCTATTGCATTCATCATATTAGTAAGAGAGATCTAGACAAGCCATTGTTGATTAAAAAGCATGTACCCCTGCAAGTTGCTTCATAAAAACCTCCAGAGGGATGGTGCTTCTACGTCACTTTTTTGTTACCATGAGTTAAGTCCCAATCACCTGTAACTGCTGGAGCTGGCGATTGTAGACCATCTTAGTGTAATCAGACAGCAGTTGACCCAAGGCATCAGTACTTGGATATTGTGGAACCCCAAGTCCCGACATCCAACCATCTAAAATAGCTGTAGAGAGAAGCTCCAAATGGCTTGAGACACCACTTATCGTTTCCCCACCGGTCAGCGACAAGAAATCGAAGTTCTCAGCAAGCCACCCCCGAATCTGACGCCGCAGCTCCCCTGAAATAATAGAAACAAGACCTCAAACGGAGGCCAGAACCAAAGAACTTAAACTATTTATGCACAAATGAATCCACATAACACCTGGTAGGTAAAGTCTGACCAGTATTGGCTACAATTACCAAGGGACGGAAAATGAAGAACAAACGGCATTGCAGCAACCACAAAGTTAGAATGTAGAGCGCACACACACAGCACAATTTCTCAACTTCAATCATTACAGAATGTCTTACCAGCCGGAGTGTGCACAAAGAGTGAGGCAAGAGACTTATTTCCAATTGCAAAAGCACGTGCGTCTTCTGATGTTTCTTTCAACTTCCTTTCTGAGACATGTTGCCGAGAACTATCCTGTATAGGCAGACAAATTTGGTCTTATTACCGGTATTCGTCTAACCAAATGAGATGGAAGTCTGCTACCTTCAAATTGAAGGGCATCAGACAGATCATACATTGTCTGCATTATCGAGTGAATGAATACTAGCAAGGACCTCGATACATGATAATATCAAATACCGCCATCCTTCCTGAAATAAGATGCTCGTTCAAGGGACAAAGTTTGACCTAGTTTACAGAAGAAGTTGAAAAATTGACATAACAACATCAAATGCTGGGATATGATATTCAGTCAAATACAAACCTGGTCGTTTCCCCTTAGCTTTGAGAACATGGAGGAAAACTTGGAACGCTTTTCTTGTCTTAAATTAACTCTAAATCCATGCAGATAGTCATATCCATCTTTAATCGAATGATTAGGTGACCTCTGTGGACTACTTCCAAGGCTAGAATTACGACTGCTGCGCCCGCTAATAAATCCTGATCCTGCTTTCTCCAGGAACCGTTCCACAAGCGGAACCTACAAAACCACGTCATACGTTAGAAGCCACGTCGCATTTTGAAGGAACATCATGAAGTAGATCAATGTTCAAAACATAGTAGAGTTTGCGAAATTCGATGTGTGTTTGAAATCAGGGTATCAAGGAGTTCCAGTATTCCTGAAGGGTGTGTATATACGTGAGGTTCGTGATGGCGTAAACAATACACTAAGAAGAATGAATCACATCTCACCTATCATCCATAATGATGAACAGAACCGTCTACAGTTGACACAACTGCTAATCAATTGCTAGTCAATAGTTTTTCTCAACACGCATCACGAAATTTGTCAAGTAATTCAAGATGTACAAGAGATTTGCACCGCTTTAGTCTCGTACCTTCAAGGATTGTAGCTCGGGTGCCCTGGACAAAAGTGACCGAATGTACAGAATTCGCACACGTGAAACAAGCATAGTGTCCATTGCTGTTCGATTCTCCAGATTGCGTATGAAGGTAAACACAGCTCCTTGAATTTCTGCAAGCATCTCATGCTCGCGAGAGGCTCCAGCTTTTACCACAGCTGCCAGAACCTGTAAACCGACAATTACAAAGACCTCAATCGCAAATCCACCAAATCTATCACAATGGCTCAATTATAATTTAACGAGGAAAAAAATCTAGGAACACAGCAGCCTGGAAGCTACACAGTATCAGCTCGAATCAACTAAATTCAACCAGTTCTCATTGTAGTTGTGTGCCATTTCTAAGACCTAGAAACAGAACCTTAAGAATGAGTAAGTAGTGCCTGAGTAAAGTATACAATTTTGATGTCAGTAAATTGACGACACTGGTGCAAGAGGAGCAGTACCAGCATCAGGAGCTTGTTCGCACCATCAGCAATTGCAGCATCACTCTCATAATGATCTGGGTTGAAGTCCATCAAAGCAGCTGTCAAATATTCCCCAGCTGGTGTTGACTTCAACTGTTCATCCGATCCATATTTCAGCAGTTCAACAGCGCCTCGTGGGGAAGATGGTTGCCCAACTGATGAACTTTTCATGACACTAGATGATCGCATGTCCGGAGAAGCTGGAGCGGTGCTGCTACTTCCATGAGCCAGAGGTTCAGACGAATTCCAGAGTTCAGTTAAGGCAAATAATATAATCTTTATCAGGACTGTGGCTAGATGCTACACTGAATCATTTTTAACATGTTTGAGGCTTCGATTGAGAATAAGAACAGGTGTTCCGACTGCACTAACCTGTAAGTACTACCGTCCAAGTTGAAGTCATCCACAGCCCTTTGCTCCAGGTGCGGGATCTACATGAAAAAAGCAAAGTTCAGCAGTCCACTCTTGGGTGTTGGAGTAACCTACTGATTTTGAGAAGCTACGGTAATCTCAGAAGCGATGAAAGATTATTTTTATTAAGATACACTTAGAAAAAGTAATTGACAAAGTAAAAACTACCATTGTCAGATGCCAGCAAACATTTGTTCGTACGTTATGCTCTCCACAGGTATAGGCACCTCCAAACGAAATATATACACTGCTTTAACAATAAAATACAGCACAAACAATTATCTTCTGCACAAAGAGTAGGTCGCACCCAGTGAATAGTGCAGCACCTTTGGAGAGACTGAGATCTTCGGGGAACCAAGTGTCGAAGTCCTCTCCGTAAGTCGCTCAAAAAGCTTCTCGTTCTCTTGGTGGAGCCTCTGAAGTTGCCCACCCAAACAAGAAAGTCTGAGCAAACTTTAAGGTTAATACAAATTACATAAGATAAAATCGATCAAATAGGGTAGGCAGGGAGTTTTCTTCAGTTCTTTCTTCCCATCTATCCACAAAAAAGGATTAATACACACATAGACAGACAGATAGAAGATCAACAGAACAGGTCTGTACAATTAAAAGCGCGGTCAAAACAAGGACAAAATTGATCAAATAGCGTCGCCAGGAAGTTTTCTACCATTCTTCCTTCCTGTCTGTCTACATAGAACGATAGATAGACAGACAGATAGTTAGTTAATCAGTTAGTTAGTCAGTTTGTTAATAGGACATGTCTGTAAACCAAATAGCGCAGTCAGATTGAACACAAAAATTGTATGACAAAAAAATCGTTCTTCAAACCTCAATAAGCTCATCTCGCTTGGTAAGCTCCTCTTCAAGTTTTTGATTAATGCTTACAGCATTTTCAGTTTCCTCACGCAACATCTGTATTTCTGCTAAATTGTCCTGCCCAGCAGGCAAAGTACTTGCTGCAGCCGATCTGGCTTCATGTAACTGTTGCTCCAGCACTTGCACCCTGACCTGAAGACAGTTGTGAATGTCAAAACTTATTCACAAATTCAAGTAGTCATTACATTATGGTCTCATCTTTGAAGCAAAAATGGTGAAACAAAAGTAGTAGAAACGAAAATATCACTTTTAAAGTAGTGAAGTTACCTCACAAATAAGCAACTAATCAGGACGGGAAACGCTCAGCGTTTACAAATCCTAAAGTTAATTCCTTCCGCATAGATGTGAATCGAAATCGGATCTTTATTTCTGAGAAGTGTCTATTCTATAGTGCTTCAAGAATTCCTGCCTAAGGACATCTCTAGTCTCAGAAGTCTACATTATATGGAGAATACTAGAAAATCAACATTCAAACGCGTAAAGAAGAACTCACTTCAAGTGCTTCTATCCTTGCTCCACGCTCCTTCAGTTGTGATTGATACTGCTCCTCACGCATTGTGAACATTGATAATTGTGTCATGACGACGGCATACTGATCTTGATCCCTGCTTTTCTGCTCGCTTAATCTATGATTTTCCACCTGCCACAAAAAATTTGTACAAAACACATCAAGATCATGTACGCTGCAGCATACTGCATGTTAGGGCTTGAAACTCCGCAATCTTATCATTAAAGAGCGAGCTAAGAGCTCAAAGCACTTCCCTTTCTCTTCGCGATATTTTCACGAATTGCACTAAGTTGCTGCAATCCTCAGTGCGAATGGCCGTTGCTCAAGTGCTAGTATGTCGTGGTGCATGATGTGGTAAAAATAATAACATTGCTTCAAGGTATTTATCCAGACTTGATCACGAAGAGAAAGCAAGAACAACCATATCACTCCATACCTGAAGCTTATTAATATATGATTCGTGGCTAGTAAGATCAGCTTGTAAAGAGCTTGCCAACTTCCATGCCTTTTGAACCTCATCAAATAGAAGTAGACACTGAGCATCTGCCTCCTTTAGAGCACGTTTTAATTGCATCACTTCACCTTGAGCCTCTGTCGCTTCCTTCTCCTTCTCGTATAACTCTCTACGGGCTTCACTCGCCTGATCAACCATTCATATCATTAGTAAGTAGCGACCACATCTTAGGGGACCATCAAGGAACATTGTGCAACCTAGTTCCAGGAGTAATAACTTAAAAGAGGACCTTGTAGGCACAAATAAATTTAGACTCCAAAACTCTTTAATACAAGGCACTAACAAGACAGACTTCTCGGACAGGTATGCATAAAAATACTGATAAAATTATTGCATGTGGAACAAGGAATGGGCTCAAGATTCACATATTGGGATAATATTGCAACTATGTTGATGACGAATAATCAGCAAATACGAGATAGAGAAGAGGAACATCCGTCTAAAAGGCTCATGAAAGATAAGTTTACCACGTCTCTCCACTTCTTGATTGTGTCTCGATTTCCGAGGCTGATCTCCGCATTCCGAGCACGAGACACAAAATTCAAAGTAGCAATAGTTTCTTGTAAATCGGAATTGCTAGGACTAACATTCGCAATAAGAACTGCTTTGGAGTCCCCTCCTGAAGAATGAAAAATCAAATAAAGTTAGAACACCAAGTGTACTACTCCGTCATCCCTTAGTTGTTATCAGGAACAACACGCATTGACAGATTAGTCAATTCGAATGCAAAAAATCTAAAAGCAAACAGTTTCCCCGTCCAAACACATCATTAAGTTGAACTGTCAAGCCTGGTATGGAGTGCGGGTGGACACGCACACACAAAGTCGCAACAAGAGATTTGAAAAGTAACCTTCCAATGGTGTTGGTCGAAAGAGCTTACCAAGTGAATCCGCAAGAAGCTGTGTAAGCTTTGAATGACCGTAGGGGATGTAATCTTTCTTTGCACTAAGGGCTGCAAAAACATCACCCAGACTGCGAAGAGATACATATCAGCATCTAGACAAATTTATTATTTCGGAAGTACACAGATATGCACCACAAATTCCACTTATCCCCTTGAAGAAACTAGGCAGTCGTGGACAAAGTTTATCCTACAATATTAGGTGCTGGTTAAAAACAACATTAAACGCACTTCGACAAACTAAATCTACCTATTTTTGCATCTTGAACATACGGACTTTCAACCTTGAGTGCCATTCTTTCATTGTAATGCTTGACTTACACTTCGCCAAATCTTCTTGTGATAGTTTTAAAAGAAACAAAAGCATGTATTCGAGAGATTTCAAGAGCAGGGCATTCCAAGAAAAAGAGTAGACCCAACTTGATAATGAACTTGGCAATTAAATGAAAAAATAAACCGCTGGTTCAAAAGTTTCTGGTGAAAGCACTAGGAAAGGAGTTCATTAGAGAGCCCTAAGAATCAATTGTGACTAGAACTTGAGGTCATCCAAAAGAAATCAAAGATTGCAGGGGAATTAGAAAAATTTCATAAAGCACTCTCCACCTACGTTTGTCAACATCTGACAGCGGTTGATACTTACGCAGACAAAGATTTGTTTATGTGTAGTGACTCCGTCAAACGATCTCCATTCACTTCTGCTTTGCTGAACCGCTCACTACTGGCTAAATCCACCATTGATAATTTACTGTATTGCTCTTCTCCAGTTAATGAATCAGTGGTGTAAATATGAATAGTCACCACCCTGTCCACCCCAGTTAAGATATCAGGACATTTTAAATCAAGAATTCCAAAACAAGAATTCAAATGTATTCAGTACATTAAATCATCAATATCATACTGAGGTAGCACGAATGCTTCCGCAAAAAGACGTTCATCAACCCCCTATTCAAACTAATTTAAAATACACGCAGCATAAAATTAATAAGTACCCCAATTCGACATTGCTCGCAATTTCGTTCTGTATAAAAATTCATATTAAACAAAGTTAAACCAGAATTTTAGATGAAAACGTTGCATTTAGGGTTGAACAATAAGTTCAAGGACACGGATGCCAGAAACAAAGTACATACAAATGTGATCGGTTGCTGCGATCAGACTTCACTCCATCCACATTCGCTCGCATCTGACTGCCGAACTTGAATACTCGAGTAAATCCAGACGGACTATCTATGCGCTCATCCACCAATTCCACACCATGCCCTAATCCCCCCATCATAACTGTTGAGGCTCCACTACTGTCTGAGGTCTTCAAGAGGTCCCGAACCTACCAGTAACAAAATATTGTAACCATTGAGTTTTTCTATTTATTCTAATTAATTACACAAGTTTAGCTCACAGATGCCAGTTATGTCGCCAAATGCGACCAAAAAAAGATTTTGTTAACAACCAAAACTCCAAAAGACACCGTTGCGATAAGCTGACCTACCTGTTCATTGTGTAACTCGAACATAGTGACATAATAAGCCGTCCTTGAAGATGGCGAGTTTTCAGCGTTAACCAGGTCAAATAGCTCTTCAAAAGCTCGATAGTATAAACCTCGGTCGTGACTTGGCCCTTCCTGTGATAAAGTCCCAACATATGGGCGATCATGCGCGCAGAGTTGAACTGATATCAGGAGCAATCTACTGTGATGCATACTATTCATAATTGTACTAACACGTAACAACGTAGCCGATAATAATTTCAACGATTAAATAACTCTTGCTCTCATTCTCACTGTCATGCGTTTTCCACTGCAGTAACTACTTTCACAGGTTACTGACGAGTGACGAGGTTAAATAAAGCCTCAAGGGAGTTAAGGAATTAACAAAATAGGATACGAACATACTCGCCTGTAAGAGATTGTTAATTGCCGTTCATATTTATTGGGATTAGAATACAGTTGAATCAAGAGGAAAAAGTGGCACCTAAGCGCTTCACTAATCCTCCAAAAAGATACTAAAAGACCTCACAAGTGATTGATAAAGACCATAAAAACTTAAATAAAGCCTAACGAACATCACAACAGAATAACCAAACAGGATGCTGAGAATGCACACCTAATCCACGAAGAACTGATTAACAGTACAAATAGACATACCATGGTGTAAGATTTTCCTGATCCGGCTTGGCCATATGCGAAGATGGACACGTTATAACCATCCAACGCAGACTGTACAAGAGGCTGGAGGTCTTGGAAAATATCGCCTGCAGCAAGGAGTGACCACCGTCATTATTCATAAGTATATGCAAACGTTGCTGAATATTCCTTAACAGACGACTTATCCATGTCAAGCTTAAGAAGTGGCCATCTTATGCATCAAATCAGTTACGGACCGTCATTAGACAATAGCAATTCTTTGATTACTGCATCCTATCTCATGTTTCTCTATCTCAAACAGGAAAAAACACTGACACCGCCCTCTGAAAGGCATTCTGTTTAGAAGACCAACCTTGAGAAATATGTGGCCCGTAAATGCGATCCAGTTCGAAATCCTTACTTGGAGCAGTACTAACATTAGAATTTATGCGAAGCGTGAAATCGTCAGGATATGATATAAAACTAGAATCTTCATCCTCGAACTGTGGTCTTGCTCGGCAGTAGACTCTAATGTTCCCTGAATCCAAGGAAAAAATGTGAGGGTCCTACCATGAAAGAAAATAAACAGGAGTCCATTGATATCAGTCGTTAGGAAACTAGTATTCCAGCACATGATCAATTCACGTGATAAGAGTTGCATCAATCTCGTACATCAAGGCATTCATCTGATTAACTACCACAAATATAATCACCTTTAGCAGAGACTAGATCATTGAAGAGCTTCTTCTTTTCTTTCTTCAAAGGAATGACACGAGACTCTGATTCCAATGCTACATCATCTGCAAAAGGCATAGCATCCGCCGGTCAAGGAAAACTAGTTCGTAAAACATATCATAAATGTTAGAGGAAATCCCACCGACGTTTGATGTGTAAAAGATGAATAGCCTGAGGTATCAGAATGTGATGCATATAAACATAAGTCAATCGGCCTTCAGGCACATAACAGGCAGCAGTTGGCAAGTTACATCTTAATTGAATGTTTGCGACGAAACAGTCGTTCTTTTGTACTGTCCCGCTCTAAAATATGACCTTATTATTCGGTCCTAAACCTATGAACAAACTGTAGACCAGTTCATTCAAAAGTCGACGATTCAACTGGACGTATCACAAATTCAGGTAGGAGTCGTTCCAACCACGACAACAGAAAAAGTGAAAAACGAAGGCAGAGAATAGTCACCTAGACGGCGAGCTTTCTCAGCTAGAACCCCCAAGTATCGGGTCACCCGTTCGATTTTAGCGTTTGAATATTCTTGTAAGTCACTAGCCTCTTGTCGGAGCTCAATGCACTCCTCCCGTGCACGCTACGTATGCAAGTAGAATCAAAAAGTCAACAAAATTTAGAAATAAGATGCATCTAGAAAGGTTGCAGAAAACACGCTAGAGGAGGTATTTGTGTAAAAGTCATACAGTAGCCAAACGCTTTAAGCATGTTGTTCTAGTGGCTATTCGGCGGTTAATTTAAACTATTTCTACACTCCAAAGATGATTGGAATATTGACGTGAAACTTCTCTGAATCTAGAGCAAAAGTCGCCAAACTAGGAAGCCCGCTTCTTCGATATTACGTACTTCCAAACAATAAGTAGAGTAGAAATTTATTCTGATCCCATCTCGGAGCAGTGTATCATTAAATTTCCATTCCCTCGTTTGAGTATATCTAAGCACGTGGTTCAGGGTTGTACACTTACAAATTAGCATAATAAGCCATTCTATTGCTTTCTGCAATATCAACAACAATGCCATTACATACCTGAACCCGGAATGAATATACTTGCACATTGATTTAAAGGATTGAACACGAAATCACAACTAAGCGCAGACTTGCGGTGCAGTAGGAAAAATATCCATGACGAGAATTGAGAATAATCGACAAATCAAAAGATTAAGGGATGCAAAGCAATTAACCAGCCTAAGCGGCCAGTAGTCACAAGCAATGTCCATTTGAATGAAGCGCTAATTCGAATAGAAGATGCAATTTTGCGACGACAACCATCGGCTGGGAGAAAGAAGAAGATGGAGTAGTAGGAAACAACCAATCAAGACAGATGGCAAGCATAGTCGGTACGGTTTTTCAAGTGCTATCAAATACACAGTCGGAGGCGTTTGAAAATTGGACATTAAAAAAAATCGAAAATCGAAAATCAAAAATCAATCAATGGAGAGGCGATGCCCAGAAACTCACTGATATGCGATCCTTGACTCTCAAAGCCTTGCTGACAAAGGAGGGAGACTGTGAGGGCCCCTGTTTGGGAGTATCAGGGTAGTGCATGGCAGACATAGAATGCCGTCTCCCTGCCAGAGAAGGAGACTGATGCACTCTCCCCGCCCTAGAGGGTGACGGTGGCACGAATACTGGCGCCTCGCGTCTACTTGGTTCATCTTCAATTCCATACTCCCTGTACGATGGTACCCCCCATCCCCACGAATACCGCAATTCTGCTGCATCCCCCATTTGTCTTCGCACTAACTCTCCAGCGGGCGCACACGTCAGGACAAACCTCCAATCGCCAAAATTCCTTATGTGCTGGTACTCCCGAGGGCATTCAAAGGAGCATTATTCAGACTTCGTAAAATGCAGAACAGCAAGTATGTGGAAGATCGTAAACAGAAGTCCAGAAACTAAGCTTCGGAAAACTAAGAGATGGTGAAAACACAGTTCTTGACGTTGAAGTTGGGACGCAACGAGGTCGCCCTAACTCTTCCCTGGCCTGGATAAAATGAGCAACCAAAACCTCGTTATCCCCTACGGCCAGACCACCTCAACCTCTGCATCGACGCCTCCGCATCAACGAAAGAACGCACGGTCATCCTCGCTCTCACCAGTCCCCTGTCGATCTAAGCACCAAAATGCGAATCGCAACCAGGAAGACTCGACCAATCCACTATTCTAAAGTCGGCAAGCGATCACAACAATAACACCCGCAACAGAACTAGCATTTCCCCAATCAACCACATGGAAATAGCGATCGACCGACTCCCAGCGCACAGAGGCCATCACCAAACCTTGCCATCGCGATTCTCAAGCATCCAGAAAAACCACTTTAGTCCCTCTCAGTCCCTTCACTTGCTCCGTTCGCCCGTAACAAGCTACAACGGCCAGGACGGAATTGATTCAAAATCCAAAACAGCCTTAATATGCCACGCTGGCTCCGAGCGCATCGCAATCGCGAGAGCATTTAGCAAGGTCATAAATAGAATCCGTTGCTGACAGGGGCAATTGGAGCCCCTGGCAGAGAATCGTCGGATGAATTGAGGCAATTGAGAGAAGAGTGTGGGAAGAGGTCCAGGCGGGTCCAGAAGCAGAGAAATGCAGCAAAACCTCTTGTTCTTCTTCTTTGTACAGAGCCTTGAGGTGGATGAGTCTCTTGGGCTCGGGGGGGGACTTGGGAGCAAGGGCGAGGGTGAGGGCGGGGGCGGGAGCGCACGCGTATATTTAAAAAAACTGGTTTGGTAAGATAGGAGTCGCGGTACTTAGGGCCATCGACCATGAAAATATATGGACGTGTATATTTTAAAACCCCGCCCCTTTGCAGGTGGAGTAATAGTGATGGGGATAAAGACTCCCACGGCGGGAGAAGACACAGTGGGACGCTTCTTATTATCTGTATAAGAAATTAATGGTAATTATATAAATAAATAAATAAATTTTACCAAGAGATAACTCTCTTGACAACGTTCTTAAATTTTTCTGGGAACCCTATTGAATACTCTTAAAGTGGTGAACATAATTTGACTCTTGCAAAATGATATTTTTTACACATACTTTTGAACGATATTTTTGGTGAATTTTTAACTTGTTGTTCTAATCTTGTGTCTTAGTTTTATTTAATTTTAAATAGAATAGCTTTTGTAGCTTGTTATATAAGAGTTTTGCTTTGTTTACATGGTTTTTGAAATATACATGTACATACAGTTTCATTAGTAAGAATATCACATTTTTAATCTGTGCTTTGGTAGAACTAATTCAAATTTGACTTCTGCATGAATATCATTCAATTGATTATAATCCACAAGGAGTCAAGTTTGTGTGTGCAAGGTAATATGTGAGAGCCAAAGCCTATTGTCCCTGGGTTAAAAGACAACATATGAGTAACAATTGAGCAACAAGTGTGAAGTAGAACAAGTCTTTTAATAAATATTCCTACATTTTAAGAGAGACCATATACAAGAGAGTACAAGAGAGACTGTTCAACATGGCAAGGGTGGTTTACTATACCAAAGAGGTCTTAAATTTGAATCAAAATGATAGGGTTAGCTTTAATTTACTTCATGTGATGTGTTTTTTTAAATGCATCATATTGTTTGGAGATAGTATATCTTCCCTTGGCCTACTCTACCATTACAGTAATCTTATTATCTTTAGACTAGTAACTTATGTATGCACAATTAAACAAAATAAATAGAATTTTCAAAATTCATCATTTAGATGAACATGAACTTTAAATATTTTATTTTCTGTAATACCTAGTTTAGAAATTGATTGTTTGTGGCTTTGGACTTAGTCACACCAAGATTTGATTTGAGCTTTGTATATATTAGAAAATAAAAAATAAAAAATAAAAAATTGCATATATATACACACAATAAGCAAGCAAAGAATTTTTAATTGAAACACAAAAACAAACATAAAAAAATAATATCACTTGTTGATTGAAATGTTAGGTCATATATACATATATATATATATATATATATATATATATCAACTATAATAATAACTCATATTGACAAAAATTAGAAAGTACTGTTTCAGAATTGAGGAATCTGAATTCTCTTGGAAGCTCAGAGTCTTACATGCAAAAACTTTCCTGACAAAAAATAAAAATAAAATAAAATAAAAAAATAAAAAAGTGAGAATGAATGAAATTTATATATATATATATATATATATTGGGAATTGTTATAGTGACCCAAGCATTTACTAAATCAATCCACCAATTGTCATTAGTTGAGAATTTAACCATTTTTTCATTGGTTTTTGATCAATGTGTATCTGGTAGTGGAGATATTTTTTGGTGATGGTTAGGATGGGTGGGTCAACTTAAAAATATGTGAGTCAATTTAACAATTTCCTCTATATATATATATATATATGAAATGACAATAAATGTCCAAGGTTTTTTCATGGAATAGGTACAACAAATTGGTTGTGCAAAGGAATTCATTCCAGTCCATGACTTCATTATGTGAAAGGAGCAACATCCCACCTTTTGGTCAAAAGAAGCAGGGAGTGTATCAGAGCATGAAGAGGTGGGGTGCATGACTTTGACTCACAAGGCATATTGATGTGGTCCTCCCCAATCTAGAGACATGTGCATGTTCATACTCCAACCTCCCTTGCAGCCTTCAAATTCTCTGAGAATGGTCAATTTTTTGAAGGATGAGACTAGGTCCATTTCAATAGATTTTGCATGTTTCCACTTTCCATTCTGGAGTTGGGTTTTGTGAGGTTTGTCAAAGCCCCAGACTGGTTTTGTGTTCATCCACATAGTTCAATGAATATGAATCCCTTCAGAGTCTCTTTCTCTACACACCCACAAGTAGAGATGGTAATTGGTACCAAACCAATAAAAACCAGTTTGAAATTTGTTGGGTGAATGCAAAACTGTTTCAGATTATATTCATTCTGATGGGAACTGGTTTGAAACCAGTTTGAGAGTTGCCATACCTTCATGTCTTCTAATCAGCTTTGTTTTGTCTGCTCCTCCTTACTCTATGCAAAGGCTGCAAGCTGGTGACCCAAGGGGATAATGCCACCACCACCACCTAGGCTGCAATTTGCAATGGACTACAACTGAACCCACAAATAGTTTGTTGTGCAGAAATTCCACACAACAAGGACTTGCAACTAAATCTTACTCTCTAATGCTGGAAAATTCACTCACAAAGTTAACAGCATGCTTAACCAGTTTAGTATGAGACTGTCAGCTATGAGTTATATTGCCACTGATAAGGGTTTTTCAAGGAGGAAGCTCATCCTCTCATGTTCCAAGGATTGTTTTGTTTATTTTATCCAGGATTTCTAGAGGGATTCATGAGCTGGCTGGGTGGTCTGCCCCCTGAGAATCCAAAAGCAGATATCTTAAAGTGAGTAAACCTGCTTTGTGCCCTGGTTTCTGGGCCAATGCCCATCAAAGTAGACTTAAGGGAGATGCATGTGGTATATGTGCACAGTGTAAATTGGAGCAAAGGGGATGGCTCAGGCCAATACTGTGCCTCATGCATGTTGTCTTCAGATGCTATTGCTAGGCTAATGAGACACAGGGAGGGTTATCTTTTGTGTAGTTCCCCAATTGGTTGTATTGGTGGCAGAAACAGCTCATTTGGTGAGAATTTATAGGCAAATCATGATTACCAAGCAGACAAATAACAGCCAAGGCCTTAAGGCATGAATAAGATGAAACAGAATGAAATGATTTGGCTTTTCTGTTTCTAATCCTGTGTATCCATTTCTGAAAAAAGATGATTTTATCACTGGTGGAAAAGCATGCCATATACTGACCAATGAGCACCAATCATGTTTACCCTGGCCTGTTGTATAGATGTGTTTAAAAAAACTTTGCTTGTACACTTTTAAATAGTTTTCTGTAATTTTAATTACTTGATAATGTATGAGTGTATCACAACAAAACTGTGACCTGCATTTTGTAAGTACATCACTTGAAGGTGCCACAAATGGCCACAAATACACCTGTTCAACATTTTGGCAACTTTGAACTACAGTATCATGCACTAGTTGGATGTATGGACACTCTCAACATGTTCTACTCTTGAGTTATTCATTCGTTGAGCATGATAATTTTAACTTGGGATCTCAGATATTGGAGTATCACTTGTATTAGTGATGCCAAAAACTGTGCAAGTTCCTTTGGAGGCGAGGCAAGTAAGTTGATCTAATCTCTAATTTAAGTCAATTATTTGAAGGACTGCTAAAATGTACAGATTCATTTAAAAAAGAATAATTAAGGACATAAAAGGAAGCTTACTTTCATCTTAATATGTTAGTACGGTTTTGATCTCCCTTGGAGTTGCTTATTTAATGGACATGTCTACATGTAATGAAGATTCAAATTTGTTGCAGTGAACCTAGGAACGTAATTTGTTGGAATCTGAACAGTGTCTCAATTCTTAATAGTACACAGCCATAGAACGCTGGAGTTCTGACAACCCTGATATACAAGAGCTAGCGGATTTTCCAGCCAGTGTACTTGAACTTTTATCTTACAAAGAGGTTTGTAACCCACCCTAAATCTCTGTGCAGCACTCTGGTGCCTACTGCCAATTTGATGTTTCTGAACTACAAGCAGAATCATGTGTCTGAAATCAAGAGTAGGGTTTGCTGCAGAGAGACTAATACGTGCGCAAGTGATTTAAAGGCTTGGTTTGAATGATTCTGAGTGTGTTGGTTTCGCTCAGATTGAGGAAAAAGTTTGAGAAAATAGCCTGCAAACTAGATTAGATGAAAGGGATCATTGTCTCCACATTCAGTCATCACATTGAAGTTAAATTAATCACCGTCTTGTTTCTCATGCGAGCAGGCAGCTGTCCATGGCTCACAAGAAGAAGCGATGTGTCTGCAACAAGACAAGCACCAACCAAAGTGGGTAAGCTCCTTTGCCTCATTTTAGAGGTTGTTTTCATCAAATTCCGATCAGTAGTATTTCAAAATGTTGGTCAAGAGACTCACATCTGACACCCCTCAACGTTCAAAACATTCTAAACAGCAGATATCAAAACATCTCCATCTGGTCCCTGGAAACACCTCTTTAAATTGCAATTTAATGGTCGAAATCGGACGGCCACAGCAGGCACGGCAACATCAAATGGATTAGTAGCCATGACAAATTTGTGAGCATTGGTGGCCATTGGAATCCAGAGACCAAATCAATAGGTACAGCAGGTGTTATCTGTTTATGCAAGGAGTATCAGTGTGTGAAGAGGGGGGGTCATGTTTGAAGATATCCTTGAGTTAGCATCTTTGCAGTCCCAATCGTCACTAACCTCGTTTGGTGAAAGAGATGGCTGGAGAATGATTGTGTTATGCTTCGGTAGGATCTGAAGTGAACAGCTACGGTTGATAGCCCTACTTAGTTCCTATTAAATAATTGCATCCCAGATAATTCTACTGAAGCTCTTGTGTGCGAGATTTAGCAGTTTCCCATCGTGAAACCCCTTCGACAATCCAACTTGACGCCACCTCAAACCAACTCGAAATGAAAGGTTGAAGTAAATGTTATTCATTCTGTACAAGAGATGACTTGCACAGAAAAAATCCAGACAATACTAGGGAGAAAAAACCTTGAGTTGGAGGAGTTTTGGTAGAATAGAATGTTAGAAATGAAGGTGAACATGGAGGGTTTGGTTGTAGTGAGTGCAAGATCCCATTTCGACCCTGCGACGAGGTCTACGCACCCCGCCATCTGTGCTCCTGCCTTTCATTCCCATCCTGCCTGGCAAGGAGATTGGGTTGAGCGTTTCTCATAGATTCATTGTCCATTTTCAATGTGCACTGAAGATAGTCACTCTTGTCAGATCCGCAAGATAATACAATGTTGCACGCCCTTGTGACAACACTAGGTTGTGGAATGCCAAGAAACGTGCCAAATCCATCCAATGAAACCATTCCGTGCGTCAACGATCCCTTGTTTGACGCATCTCACCACGGAAGACCGATCTAAAACTTTCAACCTTAAGCGTCTACACCAGGTGCTATGTGAAACCCTTCAAATGTCAAGAAGAAAAATCCACAAGGTTTTTCATAGCGATTTAATCTCAAGCAATGAAACGAACATTCACTACAACTAAGGTTGTGTTTCCCAATGCCAACACTCACTCAGAGCCACACATTGTAAGTAGAAAAAGAATAATCGATGCGGGTTTGCAAGAGTTTACTCAGTTGATTCTTAACTCAGATAGTTCCCAGAAAAATTCCCTCCTTCAACGGACCACAACAAAAACTAAAAATAAAAATAAAGGATTCGAAAGCCGCTGATTGATTATGCACAACCTGAAAAAAAATCTGGAAAACTGCAGAGGTATAAGTCCAGCCATATGCAATGCCTGTCACCTCCCAATCAGTGCAAGACACGACTCAATCATAATAGTAAAACAGAAACCAAGGAAATACAGATTCGGACACACATGTTGAAACCCAAGACTAACATCTCAAGAGTACTACCAAAAGTACTCTATCACAGGAGCTCACTCGGCTGCAACACCTCTCAAACGAAGTTCTATGAAATGTAAAATTTCCTCTGAGATAGATGTGACATGCATGCAGAAGTTGGGTGCGTGACAAGGTCCAAGGTTATAGCTGCAATTTCGATTGAACTTGCGAGACGTACGAGATGTACAGGGTACTCAACGCTGTGTGAGAGAACGGGACCCTTAACCCTGTGATTCCCAGTCCAATTGACTAACTCGAGTAGCTATTGCTGTAAACACAAGCCTTCAAAGGTTAGGTGATGATACCACCAGGATAACTTCAAGGCTGGAACCCAAGGCCTGCAGAAAAGCCCGTCGAATGTGCGACTAAGCCATCCTTCAAGTTCATCGTTTTCCCCCAAAACACGATGGGAAAACGATGCCTACCATGCATTCTGACATCGTCGTCTAGCGAATATTAAAGTAATGAACAGCACTGCAGGAATTGAACCATGCTAAAAATTCATTATACATGGCGTCTGTCCACTAACTCGATTCATCACAAATTGCATGCAACCTGAAAATTTAATGCCGCAATACAGACGCAACTAAAAGTGAAAACAACTTCGATGTACACACAAAAAATAACGACCATTAGTGGAGTACCAATCCTTCATGTTAGTGTGTTTGTATAATACAAACATCAGACCACGGACCGATGTTTAAGTCACACATCAATGAGCCAGAATTACAAGTGTGTAGTTGGTAGGTTCCTAGCAGCTAGGGATGAACAGCTAAAAATCTAGAACTCTAATTAAGAGTCTTCCATGATCTCAAAATTAGCTCTCCATGCGCATGGGCTCACCGTTAAATTCTCTCGCAAGCTCTACTTCCTTGGCTTGGAATAAACATGGTGTCTTAAACCGAGCAGGCTCTTTCCATGGAATCGAGTCAAAATGGAAGACTTCGTCAAGAATGATCGAGTCCAAATAGAAGTCCTCATTCTCGGTCTTCCAGGGCGTTGCACAAGATGGAGAGCTGGCCATCGCGCACCATAACATCCTCATCAAGCTCATGTACCTTCCTTCGCAGAACTTCCACTTCCGCGCCCAATCTCAGTGCCTCCCGGCCCATCTGATCCGCTTCATGAGACAAATCATCACGTTCTTTCAGGACTCGGGGAAGCTGCTCTTTAAGCTTCTTCAGCTCCTTCACGTGATCTTCCACATTTCCTTCCAAGCTCTGAATCCTATTGAGATGATCTTCGCACTACAAACCACAGAAACTTTAGACTCAGTCAACTACGATTACCAAGATGAACATGGCTGAACGTCATAACTCAGCTTAAGGTGGACTCCCTAAACGCTCAAACACCCTCCAACATGACTATAAATCGTCGAGTGCAGTGATTGATACCTGATGCTCTAAGGAGGTAACTCTTTGGTTGGCCTCGCTCAAGAGACGTTGCAGCTTCTGAACTTCAGATTCCAGCCAGTCTCGCCGATGCTCGAGAGCTATGACTTCATCATTTCGTTGTTCTAATTCAGCCTCTTTTATACCTAGCTTCTCTTTCAGAATTCTGCAGTTCAAATCCTGAGCCCGCAACTCCTGCTTGCATTTCACAACTTGCTCCCGCAACTGCCAGATAGTAGCACCAGTTACATTAATTCAACTGAATCAATACAGAGACTAGGCATATCATGTAAGTAACCAGAATAGCCGAGGGAAGCTTGCACTAGAATTTTTACCTGATTCAGTTCCTGCTCAGATACCCGCCTGCTTTCAGCTTCGGCTGAATTCAGAATCCTAAGGTCCTGCACTTCGTTTTCCTTACTGTGGTATAATCGGACTAGCTCTTCATTCCGAGCGGAGAGACGCATAATGCGAACTTTCTGCGCCTCTACGGTCTTGCCCGCGACGGAGAGACTGTGCTCCAAACCACGAATGACATCTTCCTGCTTCCCAAACTCATGTTTCATGTTCAAGATTTGTGATTCGCGTACTTGCAATTGGCTCGTAGCTTCTCCTCTTATATGATATCCAGCCGATTTTCTTGATCCTTGTGAAATAGAATCTCCGTCTAAATCAAGAGCACGATCTACTGGTGACGTATCCGACGATCCCTGGCGGTGGTTTTCTTCGCCATGGCCCCGACACATTCCTTCCTCCCGCAGTTCGTGAATCTCCTCTTCAGCTTCTCTCAGGGCCTTCCGCATCTCTTCTTTCTCTCTTACAGCCAATCGCAACTTGACAGAAAGGAGGTTGTTTTCGTCTTGAAGTTCACCAGTCAGGTTTTGCAGCCTGTCCAACTCAGTCTGGAGCTCGCCAACGTCTTTGTGGCCATAGTTATTGCTGCTCTGTTTGTCCTCAAGATTACCATGGCCCGAAGGCCCACCCTTCAGAACTTTCATTTCAGACTGCAATGCTAACTCTAGGATGCTTAACCGTGACAAGTCTCTTTGTAATTTGCTTGGCATCCGGGACCTTACACTCAAATCCTCCACTCGGCCGTCCTGGTAGTTATGATGAAGTTGTGAGCTCACGCGCTTCTCGTAATCGCTGCAAAGCTCTGGCAACCTCTCAACAATTTTGCGCAAATTTCGAGCTTCAGATTCTTTTTTCCCGTACGCCTGGTGCAGGGCATCTAACTCAGCCTCAGCTTGTTCGGCTCTCGTGCGGTACGAGTCAACTTCTGATTCTAACTCTTTGATCTTCCCCTTAGTGCTTCCGTCCCTCGACGACAAGGTAGAGATCTCCCTTTGAATGTAAGAGTTCTCTTCTTGTAAATTCATAACTCTTTCCCGTAGTTCTCGTTCCTCTGACCTAATCTTATCAAGTTTCACCATCCAGCTAGACTCTCTACGTGCGATCTCTTCTTCTAGTTTACTTTGCAATTCCGCTTTCTCCTTGTCCATCACTTTCGCATAGGCATCCATCTCGCGCTTCATTAACGTGAAAACTTTCCTTGCAGCAGATCGCTCCGAGATCCTCCGCCTCAGCTCAGATGCCGCTTCTAGAGCCAAGGACTTCTTCTCCTCGTGCATCTTCCGAAGTCGTTGCTGAACTGCTTCTAGAGAATCATTACTTTGCGTTTTGTCGTTGAATTGGAAGTCGTTTAAGCAGAGTAACCGGTCATCCAGCATGGCTTGTTCCTCGTCTAGCATCTCCAACCTCTCACAAGTTGCTTTGGCTTTTTTCTCGAGATCATCGTACACACCCTCTCCCTGTTGCTTCATCCCGTCTAACCAGCTCTTGAGCATATCAATCTCCTTCTCTTCGCGAGGCGAGGTCTCGACCCTCTTCTCGCGGAAAGAAGATATCTGTGATTTCTCGTTAAATTCAGCGTAAATATCACTGTGGTCTAACGCTTGCTCCTGGACGAGCTGGCGAGAGTAAGGTTCAGGCCACTGATCAATACATTTACCACCGCTACTATCATCAGAAAGTAATCCAGATGCGTCTTGGCTATCAGCAGCCATGGCCAACTTCCTGTCCACTTTGTTCTTGGAAGACTTCGATCCACCGCGAATAGCTTTAGCTAGTCTCTCCGCGACAGCGCGTGCGCTCAGATACTTAGTGGGAGTACTCTGCTTCCCTCTTGGGGATTGTGGGATAGGTGTATGGGACTCTGACTTTGAGACAGGTCGAACGGTTGGACGACAATTGGAGTCGAATAAGGATTGAACGGTACTGAGTCGGTTTGTGTTTTCCTGACTGTCGATGTAAAAGTCGGGTTTAATCTCACTAGGTTTGAAATTTGGCATAGATTCAGAAACACGTTCGAAGTGCAATGCTCGTGCCGACCCTGGCGGACAAGGGATTTCATTCTCCTCGACAGTCCTCACCTTCGGGACGCTGTTTGACCTCGAAGACGGCGCTGTCCTTATGACAAGGCTGTCTCTTCGAGTAGAACTGCAAATCATCCACAACTACACCGTGTTAGCTTCCAAAACAGTCAAAATCCGATAAATATGTTCTCACTTAACAATGGGCATGCACAATTCGAATATTGGAAATGCTCAAAGCTTCAACCGCAGAGCAATGCGAACGCCATATTAAAGCCCATCGTTTATATAAAAGACACAAGCTTACGTTGCTGAAGTAGTTATGAAGGACTTCGGCCGGGGTTGAACTTGCGCTTCAATCTGACTTTGGAGCAGCTCCATCTGGCTCCCTAGTGACATCCTCCTCCGCCTGTCCCGTGCACTCGAATTCGCACCTTGGGATCCAAATACCGAGCTCGACATCTGCGCTTCCTGATAACCCACAAATCCTCCTCTTCCAGACTCGTGGGCACTGTCATACTGATTGAAATTATAATCCTGGGCACTTCCGAACGCTGCATTCTGAATGTTCATATGTGCTCGGAGCTCATCCCCCTGAAGAGATCTGCGTGTAAGTGTGCTATCTGTTCGTCTTGAAGAGTTGGACGCGGTGCCATGGGAGGATGCATAATCATTGGCACTAATGTAGGATGTGGATGAGCCGGTAGGTCCGGAGTGTTGCTTGTTGGTGCTTGTTCTCCGCGTGGTTGCCATGTCGCGAGACGTAATTCCCTACAACATATTCTTTCCAAAACCTGCACAGACTTTATGAATTTGACGGTGACGTCTGCCGTAATTATCTGATCAAGGGTGAAAGACGAGGTTACGTTGTGTGCACGTTCGTCACTACCAAAGTCGACGACTTAACAACCACATTCCCTCAGCTCAAATCCTACAGCGGAAGTGTCAATATCCGACTAGGTTCCGGACTAGCCTCCAGTTGTAGACCTTGGCTGGAATAGACACAAGGATCTACGAACGTAGATGTTGGCTGGCCTCACTCGATAGATCCCAGGGGCCAGTCACACTCAACCACAACGATTCCATGGCTTGAGCGTGGGATGCTCAAATAATACGTGGTCATTCTTTTGATGTTTCCACTGAACTTGAAAAGTACGAGCCAAGAACATAACGACACTACTCCGTGTATATAATGCTGCACCCGCTTACAACGCTTCCGCGTTTCTTTTCAACACTCATACACGCCAGTGTTCAAAATGAGCAATTCATTTTCCAGACACTCCTGCACTTTCAATCCTCCTGCAACAAATAATTTATCTAGAGTCCGTAGTAGAAGCGAAAGTGTTACTCATGGACTCCAACTAACTCCTACAGGGCATCGAAAACCTCGAAAACGAAGATCTTCTACGAAGCTCAAAAGCTAGCTATTCCCCGAGCACCAACCAGGCGACTCCACTCTGCACAACCCTTCACATCTGGCGACTACACCAGAACCGAATTCTCCTGCGCACGATTGAGCGCTGCCCTGCGCAACCAGGAACCCAGAAGCCTCCCACCAGTGGGACTGACTAACGGCGATACACGGGCACCTCCTCCCGACCTTCATTCACACCCTACCCACCTCTCAATGCGTTTAACCAAAACCATGTACTCGGTCTGAGAAAGGCATGTCATGAGGTCCGCCAGCACAGACTTGCCAAAATTCGCGCGGCAGGTGGAAGGGCCGGGAGCCAACCTGCTAAACAAAGTGAGTCGAACGGCCACAAGACATTTGCCAATTCGAGGCGTGTAGCAATGCACGAGAACCGGAACTCGGCTGGCAGGCAACGGCCTCCTCTACGTTTCTTCTCCCGCGGCGTGACACCGTCGTCATGACCAACCAACCACCATTGCGACCCGTCTTCATGACCCTACTTTCATTCGGATGAAAGTCATTCATCCTCTTTCTTCATCCATTCATATCAGAAACCGAGAAGGGGCAACGAAGCCCAACCTTCTTATTTTGTGTCTTGGCAGGTTCCCACTTTAATACCTTTGGGCTGATGAAACACCGCTGAAGCTTCCGACCTTTTCGCCTTGTGTATTGATTGATGGAGCCAATTCTTAGGTAAACCGACCTCTAGGCTCACGCCCACAGAAATGCTGCGGAAGGAATATTACTGATCGACGTGACGAAACCAAATAGAATTACGTGGTCGGTTTCATGCTTTGATCGAAATCTGACCAGTCAGAGCAAATATTCCTTCAGATATTTAAACTCTTTGCAACTATGTGATCGAGGATGAGTTTATAACATACTCCAGAGCATAATTTTATTGTCATTCGAAATACATGAAAGTTAGGTTTGAGCCGAGGAACTTCTACTTTTTGGTTTTCTCAATGCTTTTTACTGTCACAATGTGTTAATGTCTATATGTATATATAAATAGACATACATGTGTGTGTGTGTGTGTATTGTTTTAGTCAGTGTTCATGCTTACTTGAATACTCCCTTAAATGCTTCATCATTGTGTGTGTGATGTCTGTGATAATATTGCTAATTCTAACTACATAAAATTGCTTAAAATGTCAATTGTTGCCACCACCTTTTTTATTTTCTTTAGTTTTTATTTGTTACTTTTTGTCACTTCTCTTTCTTTAAAATGCTCATCATGGCTTGGGACCTCTTCCCTCTGTATCCATGCATACCAAAAGCTTCATGGGCAGGTTAGGCTTTGCTTTGAGAACAAACACCAAACAAGCAAACAACATGCTTTCAGGTCTTTTCAAGTACCCTCCCCCTCATATCAAAAGTCTCAATTGCTTACGTGAAGAGGAGGCACATCATGTGTGCATTTCCACTCCTTCATCCTGCTGCTGCTGAAGATGCAGGTGGGAGTAGGAGCTTTCTTAGGTCAGGTTAGGTTAATTTAGGACAGGCCAAGTCTTGTGTGAAGTATGAAAAGCCACACAAGTATCTGAATTCTACCCAGTGCTTGTGTCCTCATTTGTTGATGGGCTAAGCAATAATTGCTGTGGGGCTCCAAAACTTGCTTTGTACCCAACCTGAGTTTCTTGGCCAGAGGTTGAGGACATGCAGCAGCACATAAAAGGATGTCATTGTATACAAACACAACAATCTCTCCTTTTCTTGCTCTTGTTGGCTACTGTGGAACTCCTCTACTCCTGTACTGCTTTTTTATCTTGACTTCTGTAGCTTTCTTTTTGCTAAAGCAGATGTGTAAAGTAGTGACTGTGGGCTCACAGGTATCATCCCTCAAGAGTCTTGTGGTTGGTGTGTCTTCTGCTCTATTTTGTCCTTTTTTATGAAGGATTGAGTCACAGCAATAGAGGTTGCATTAGTGAAAGCAAATCCATGGAAGCATTAAGTGGCAGAAGAAATGACAAACTTCCAGAATTTGGTTACTCACCCCAAGGGCCTTGGAACTCCAACTCTGCTGTTTGTCCCTATTCCTGGTTACCAGATGGGCCCCAACTCAACACACTATTCTCTGGAAACTCCTGCACCAAAAACAAACACCACTACCTCTACTACAATACTATAGACTTCATTCAACACACACACACTTACACAGAGATATACATATTTATATGTATATGTGCTGTTCCCCGCCCATCTTCCCAATTCCCAATGTCTTTTTCAAACTTCAAACGCAAACTCAAATCGGAATTCTTTTCTTGGCTCCGCCACTTTATACCTCCAAATAGCTTGGACTTCCTAGTTGGGCTTGGTTTCTTCATTGCATCCCACACATTCCTCAATTTAATGAATTCCTCCAAATAGTGGGACAGAGAAGGAAATGGATGGAAGAGATGTACAATCATTGCCAAGCCCGGAGAATCTTCGTCATGCTGCCGTATTAAAGCTCCGCCATTGGGTAATAAGTTTGATTAATGCACATTAACAACGCATTAACAAACTTCTCGTTCATCCGATGCAAGCTTGGATGTGTAGTGTTGCAAAAAACAAATAACAAAAACAAAAACAAAACGAGCATACACACATACACAGTCCCCTGCCCTGGCAACCCAAAGACAGCCTAGTACAACAGTTGCCGTTTCAGGGTCAGTCCCATGAACTCTGCTAGAGCTCGTCTACAAAGAGAAATAATGGAAGAATATACTAACAATCATGAAAAACAACTAAAATTAAAAACTTGTGTCCTTGTGCAGTGGGGGAGGGTTTGCGATCAGATCTAGTTGCAGTGCAACGGAAGGCGTGCAAATGGAAGAAACTATTGGGGACAGTTTCATTCGTAAATAGTCAACTTTCATCCACGTAGGAATTCACAGTTATTTGTCTCTCTAGCCACTTCGTTACTTTTTGTGTCATTCATCCGCTAATTCACCCAGCCATTCATTCATCCACTCCCAGTGAAATCACATGTTGAATAGTAGAATTGGCAGGGCATGGCTGGGGTTGGGAGAGAGTCAATGGGAGAGTCACGCCAATCTGAATGAGACACATGATATACTAATGAGATATTAATGTGGAATAATCTGGATGTGGAATATTCCTATGTAGTAGTAGAAATAAAGGGGGATATTAATGAGGGTATGCTTTGCTTGGCTGGCTATATCCAGGATTGGGGGGACGAGAGAGAGCCTTGGGCCCCCCCGTTGCCTTGGACATGAAAGAAATGGATATGGATTCACTCACTGCCGCTGGCTGGGCTGGGCCAGTCAGTCAGTCAGCTCTGCTGAGGGATCGCCGTGTGACCAGCATGCCAAGGAAGGTACTGGTTGACATCACCGTTGGATGATACCCCTTCTGGATGAAACTTCTTATGGATGTGGTAATTTTAAGGAAATGCGTTCATCCTAGATCGTGCATCGGCAGCCCAACACGTGGTGCGTATGCCTGTTTCAATCCTCGTCATGTCGGAGCATATCTCCATGTCGTGGCAGGTTGTTATTAGTTCCAAAATACTATTAAATTTAGGGTATTTATATGCTGTTTTAGTTTATTTTTCGTATATATATTCTCTCCCTCTCTCTATACATATAAATTAAAAATTAAGGTAGGTTAGTTTGTGTGTGTTCCTTATGTAGGTGTACATTTTTTTACTTATTATTTTTTTTTGGGTAATTTTTCAATTAAAGATTTTAGGATGATTACTTTGTATTACTTGTAGAAGTAAATTTTAAAATGATATTATTATGATTATTATAATTATTAATTTTGGTTTAGATGCTTATTAAGGGATATCAAATAAGTGGGATTAACTAAAAAAAACATTTATAAGAACAAGCACATGGTCCAATTCACTTGAAAGTAAATTAGAGCCATATTCATGCATGAAAGTCGTTCTTTTAAGATTTATAACAAGTAATTTTATTTTATTTTGTTTTATTTTTTATTTTATTTAAATAAAAATAAAAAAGAAAAAACAATGACTACAGTGTACATCATTCAATTTATAATCCTACTAAATATAAAAATTATAAATTGTGCAAGGAATATCAGTTAAGAGAAGTGAATTTACAATCTAGAAAAGTCCTCCATTCCAATGAATATTATGAAGTAAGCAATGAATATTAGTTAAGGGATATTAAATAACAATGATACATTTTTACATGTAAGTAAGGATGATTCAATTTGTGATTGCTTTGGTTCTTGTATTTGAAGTCATATTTCTTTAGAATAATAGTTGTAGCAATTCTAATGTTTAATGTCTATAAATGAATTATCATAATATTTGTATAAGTAAATATGTAAATATGTGTTTTTTTATTTATCAGTTTTTAGTGTAGATTTTTCACTATTTTTTTTTTAATTTTTTTAATTTTTTATGGCTTAAACATAAAGTTATAAATTATTCTTTTGATTACATTTAACTGATATTTTAAATGTTATTTTGCAAGTATTCAACATCATTAAATCATCAAACTAAAGGTTTAATTTTATAATTTCAATAAAAGTTTAGATATGATAAAATTTCTTTTTATTTTCAGTAAAATATTCTTATAGATTTTTTGGTTAATGTTTTTTTATGCTATTTTCTCACATATGTGTCTTAGAGCATATTTTTTTTTGTGCTACAATGCACATTAATTTAAAATACACAAAAATAGATGCTTTGTTGTAGTCTTCTTTAGATTGTAGAATGATTGTTGTGTTGCAGTTGCAAATTTGGCCTTAAATAGTGAACAATGTTTGTAAACACAAAATAATTGTGTATTGGAATTTTTCTTAAATTGTTTAAATCATATATAAGTCTAATTTTATATGAGTTATTTTGATTTTTTTGTTATTTTAGTTCATTATTTTTGTACAAACTTTGGTACTTTGTTTGTCATTTTGTGCAAAATCGATTTATTATAGGAAATATAAGATTTTTTTTAAAATAAAAATATATGTTTGAGCTCATATTGTTGTCAATTTATTTATTTATATATATTATATTTTGATTAAATGATAAAATATCATTAATATACAAGCATATATATATATATATATATAAAACTTAATATTTTGCCACATTTTTTAAAAAAATAGAGTAGATTGTTTCAACTAGTATTGAAGTTCTTTGCTTTACTTTGGCAACATATGGTAAGAAAAAGGGAAAATTTCATTGTACCTCTGAAAGATGTGGTAATATCAAGTATACTCCTGTATTCTTGATAATTACACAAGTGCCCCTAAGTTTTCTCATGATTTCAATTATACCCCTGGACTTGATAGCATATCAGATTAACCCTGTTTTGGCTCATTTCGGGGCCCAAATTGCGTGCCGCGCACATTTCAGCGGGCCCTCACGAACCAGACAACGCCGCGGCACCACCGCTGATCCCGCTGCTGTCCTTTCGTTACCTACGCCTGGATCCTTGCGGCAAACACTAAGACAATGAAAGCCTCATTCAGTGCAGTCTCACCGTCAACCTCAACCGACCGACACACCTAATTCGTATGAAAAAAAAACCCAATTTCTCAGATGCACACAACACCTGCAATATCTACAGATT